ATGGAAAAAAATAAAACAAAACCAAATCAAAACTAAACACATGACATTTTAAAAACAAAAAATATATATCAGTGTTAGTGTATTGTAATTATACTATTTATTACATATGTGAGTGGCTACTGATCATGCCAGCTAGTGACCATTTGAACAATGAAGGGGCAGTTCATGTACAGCAACCTGTTCATGCAATACATATTCCTACCCTCCCTCCTTCCTTCTTCAGTATTTTTTAAATTCTATGGGTTTGTTTGGGTTTTGGTTGGGGGGGGGTGGGGGGAAGAGGGGGGAGAAGTGTTAGATATACAGATTTAATGGCTCTGAACTGTCCACCTAACATTTAACATTTAACGGTTAGTGGCTGTTATTTGGATTATGTGGTCACCTATGCTTTCAGTCACTTGCTGTACTAACAACCCCCCCCGTATTTTACATGAAAATAAGCCACACTTTCTATGAGAGATCTAGAAGCTACAAAATGCTGAAGGACAATATGTATGATAAAACTGCTGATAAATCTTGCATGTATTAATTCTGATTTCTACATATAAATTAAATTAAATAACATAGGTCGTGCAGGAAAAGCATTAAAATTATTCTGTCAAAAGAATAAACATAAATATATCTTGGGACTTTTTGCAATATGTGGAAATCTTTTATTTATGCTACTTGGGCATAAAACATCTCTCTGATGAAAAACCCTTTATTATTTATAAATGATCCTGTTTTAAAATTGATTTTTTTCTACATTTTTTTTCTTCAATGTATTTGTGACAAGATATCATACAACTAGTCACAAACAGGACTATAAGCACTCCAAGGCTACATTTAACCTAAGTGGGTCAGTTCTAATGAGAAAGCATGACATTTACATGTAACAAGCATACCAGTCTGAGAGTTGAAACCCAGAATATGGCATCAACTCAAGAATTATGTCTTTACACGCAATTTACATTAGTCAACTTTTATTAGTTCCTAAATTTCCCACTCAAAAATAAAAATCTATTTCTGGATAAATGCAGTATGAACAGTACTTGCAATTTTGCTCTGGCAAATATTTGCCAGCTTTACTTTTGTACTTGCAATAAAAAAATCACCCCTTCGCTTCTCTATATCTAGTAGAATCCAGCATGACAGAACGTTGCTGTGATGATGGTACAGTCTACTGCTGTGAGCAGATCAGTATAATTTTCAGAGCTACAACCTGATATGCTGTACAAGGAATAATCATCTAGATTTGTACCTTTAAGCAGTAAGACACCATGTAGATGCACACTACTTTGATCAGAGAATTTAAAATAGGAAGACCATCCACATGCTGTGTTTTTTTTAAAGCAAATTAAACTGAACCATAAAAAAAATTCAAAACAAGAAACAAACCAAACATGCACTGCAAAATTTATAACCATTTCCTTAATAGATACTATAGCAACAGATAGCAAAAGAGAAACCGAAAAAAAGAGAGAGAGAAATATAGGCAATCCCTAAATATATACAAAATATACTCCAGGTCTTTGTTCCATCTGGACATTCATTCAAAGGTGTAAATAATGGTTTCATTGTTAGGTCTCTAAATGCAACGAGCTCCAAATATTATGTGAGTGGCTCTCTCTCAGTTCACACTGGGTTCCCTTGACCCTGCTAGACAAGCGTGAAAACATGAAATAAATGAAGGTTAACAAAGACTGGTCTGGGAAACATTCCCCATTAAATACTTGCAGTGTTACTCCTATAGATGTAAGATTCTTCATTTGCATTCTGTGAGTCTTTAATATTTGTGAACAATCACGATATTAATGCCAGACATTAGTGTAAGAAACCAAATGGGCAAAATGGAAAGAAAAATCTTAGCCCACATCAGCTACATGAGAATATTCACTAGCCTTATATAGACATGCAACTAAAGCAAATAAGGAACTGCAAAATAACTACCTACTTGCAAACAGAAAATTATTTTATCACAATACCTTTTTGTGTTTGTCCCTCTTCCATATTCTCTTCCATGGCTACCTTTCTTCACTACAAACTGCTACACAGAATTAAATCAAAAGCTTCAATTACATGTAGGAAAAAAAGTGTGAAGTGTTTTTTTTTTTTTTTTTCCCTGGGAAGCTCCAACAGCAGAGGCTTAGGCAAGTCCTCAGAGCTTAGCTAAGGCTCCCTCACTCTCCTTGTTTGCTTGGAGACAGGCTGTCAAGTGTAATTTCATTCAAATTACTCTTCCGTGAAGATTATCAATTTTTCTTCTCAAAGCTGTCCATTGTGTACCACTGTAAGCAGGTATTCAAATGAATAGCTTGTGAATTTTGGGGGGAAATTTGGTCCGAGTCCCAGGAGCAGTGACACTGATTCATAAGCCTCGCTTTGCATATAAAATGGAGAAAAGAAATTGAGGTTTGTATTGAAATCTGTGTTTTAAATTGGAAACAGGCTGCAGTGAGAACAGATGGAGGGGTGTCCTCCTAACATGAAGCAGACCACCAACCCATAATTCCCCCTATTTGCTACCAAAGTGGGAAAGCCCAGATGCCTGTGGGTTCTTTATGCTGCATTAGTTGTCTCTCTCATTCTCTCTCTCCCTCTCAGATGCGTACATAACTTAATGCCTCTTCATTTCCCCCTCTCTCATATACCTAAATTTTTTGGGTATAATGAGTATTTGAAATAAATATTATTACACCCATTCTAGAAATTATTCCAGGGGATGGGTAGAGGGTTTATTTAAAAGGAATGCACCTTTGCAGTTTATTTATATATAAAGCAGACTGTAATAAAGAGAATTATTGACTGTACATCAAATCACTAAGGCATTGTCTCATCTCCTGAGTTCTCACAAATTTAAGATAGAAGGCTAGAAAAATTATTAAAAGTAATTTTAAACTTTTTTTTTTTTTTAGCTATAGCTTGCAAAAATTATCTGCAGGCTGCAATTTCTCATTAAGAGATGGAACCTTTTCAAGATGGTGAAGCAACGCGCTTGCGCGCGCACACATCATGGATTGACTGGGGAAAGCATAGGTTAAGTACACTATGAGGGCACCTACTCATTTGGGGAGCTCTGCAGTCTGATTTGGAATGCAAATTGGACGCCGCAGTCTAGCAATAAATTAGCATTTTTTTTACCTTAGTCTGAGTGACATAGCATCATCTTAAGAGCTCCAGTACATAACAGAAAGAGCAATAAGAATGCACACAACGTGCAACTCTACTGCTCTACTCTATGTGTAGCTTTTTGACAGCTCTTCCATGCACTTCTTTCCCACCTCCTGAAAAAAAGTGACCAATTCTTATTTCTCAAAATTGAAAATGGCTCCTTCTACAGAAACAAAATAGTACTTAGCCCAATGTAATAATTTCTCCCAAAAGGAACTAGTCACTTATTCAGCCTGTTATGCAACAATGGTAATGGTTCACACCAGGGCTGCCCAACTTCAAAGCATTCGGAGATGGGAGGAGCTCCAAGACCCTGGCTACTGGTGCAGCTGGAGCAATGGGAGCAGCGGCAGCTGAGGGAGCACGTGTTAACCCTTCACTGTCCATACGGCCTGCAGGCCACCAGTTGGACAGCCCCAAGTCACAACATTAGAGTTGTGTAATTTATACAGATGAATATTTAAAATGTGCATTGATTTATTTCACTAATCAATCATTTCCGTCTTTAAAAATGAACCCTCCAGTGCTTCACTTGCTTTTGCACCCCTTTCAACACAGATCAAGAAGCAGCAGCCTTTAAGTTCAGCTGACATCGTCTCTAGGACTTCAGATCACATTGGTTAGACCAGGGGTAGGCAATTATTTCAGCTGGAGGGCTGCTTACTGAGTTTTGGCAAGCCATCGAGGGCCACATGACAGGAAGCCAGGACAGATAAATATTAATTTTCTAAATTTTTTAGGGGCCCTGCAGGCCGGATAGAATGGCCTGACGCGCTGCATCCAGCCCACAGGCTGCATTTTGCCCACCCCTGGGTTAGACAAAAGTTGTAATGAATTCCCAAGGAATTAGATTTAGATTTTTTTGTAACTACTCTGACAAAATATTGAAATGTCTTTGCGATTTAAGATACCTACAGCTTCTCCTGTTAAACACTAAATTGTTTGGACTGTGTACTCCAGGAACTGGAAACCTTTGGCAAACAAAAGGAAGTAGTGACTCAAGAATCTTGATATGCATTAATTTGCCTGTCTCAAGACAACCCCTTGAATGGCCTATTTTCTCTACAAATGGTTACATTTTCTCTTTGCCTTTTTAGGGCTAAGATCTTTCACATTTGCCCATTTATAACCTGTGTAGGATATCCAGGATGCACTTCGTAGGTCTTGCTGACCCTTACATAAATATTATTTCCTATTTATATACTGCTTATTATTAATGATCTAATTCTTAAAATAAAGTATTAGCTCCCCTCCAGTGTTGGACCCCTCTAAAACGTTTAAGTTCTATGAGCATTCTGCACAAAAAGATGAAAAAACCACTGCAACTAAAATGATAAAAAAAAACAGAACACTAGCCATAATTTTTTTTTAGCTAAAATCAAACCAATCCTAGTCACTAATGAGTGTTTGCAAGGCAAGAAATAATACTATGGCTATGTCAATATGGCCTCTTTCCTATCTCTGAATCCACCAGTGACAAAATAAATTTCACCCATTCAGTCCTGCTTGGAAATTAGGTAACTGGGGAGAGTAGATGGCTCAAGTGCTCACTGCCCTAGTGTGTTCTCAAAACAGTCTGAGAACAGCCCAGTACAGTCCTGCAGTGTGCATTCAGGAACCCCTGTGCCATCTATTCTACTTATTTACAAGGCTCTGTTGGAAGTGATCAGGAAGATTCCTTGTCCATTCCCCATACATTGTCTCAGATAAATTAGGTGCCTCAGAATGGCAATCTGGCAATACTGAGCCAGGAACTGCCTAGCACTAGCCAATAAAAAACATGAACAGAAGTGTGTCCAAAATCGTTCCCTCTCTAGAGATCAGTCTACTCCATTACAGCCTCAGACTAAACATGGCTTTTGTCTGGAGCCAGACTCTAATAGGTTAATCAACCAAAAGTCATCCAGAGGGCAGCTGGAGTGTGAATGGCCTGATCCTTAGCAGTAGAGTTATTGGAACTGGAGCAGAGACTAGTTCTAGGCTGATGCATCTCTCTGATGGCTAGAAAATGATATTTAGAGGTTTGCTTTTGGGAATCAACTTGTAAGGAAAGTAGATATTATATTAAAACAATGGTCCAGGGGAACAGCATGGGTTAATTGATTTCTAAAAGCCTGTCCCTCCACTGAACTCTCTCCAAGTTGTCCACATCCTTTCTGCAGTGGGGGCCCAAAAGTGAGAACAGTACTCCAAATGTGGCCTCACCAGTGCTGATTAGAGGGGAATTATCACTTCCCTTGACCTACTGGCAACACACCTACCAAGGCAGGGCAATATGCTGTTAGCCCTCTTGGTGACAAAGACACACTGCTGGCTCATATTCAGCTTTTTGTCCACTGTAACCCCCAGGTACTTTTCTGCACAGATGCTGCCTTGCCAATCAACCCCCAGCCTGTACTGGTACATGGTACAGTTCCATCTCAGGACTTTGCATTTGTCCTTGTTGAACCTCATGAGATTTATTTTGGCCCAATCCTCCAATTGGTTTAGGCCTCTCTGAATCTTAGCTCTACCCTCCAGCATGTCTACTGCTTCCCCTAGCTTGGCATCATCTGAAGACTTGCTGAGGGTCCACTCTATACCATCTTCCAGGTTGTTGATGAAGACATTGAACAAAACTGGCCCCAAAACCAACCCCCAGGACACTCCACCAGCTGCCAACCGGACATTCATTCAATTAAGCCATTGATTCCTACTCTCTGAGCCTGATGCTTCAGCCAGTTTTCTATCCTCACAGTCTATTCATCCAGCCTGTACTTCCTTAAGAGAATGTTGTGTGAGACTGTATCAAAAGCCTTGCTAAAAATCAAGGTACATCACTTCCACCGCTCTCCCTTCATCCACAGAGCCAGTCACCTCATTATAGAAGGCAATCAGATGGGTCAGGCATGACTTGCTCCTGGTGAATCCATGTTGACTATTCCTAATCACCTTTTTCTCCTCCAAGTGCTTAGAAATAGATTCCTTGAGGATCTTCTCCGTGATTTTTCCAGGGACTGAGGTGAGGATGACTGGTCTGTAGTTCCCTGGATCTTCCTTTTTCCCTTTCTTAAATATGGGCACTATGTTTGCCCTTTTCCAATCATCTGGGACCTCTCTTGTTTGTCATGAGTTTTCAAAGATGATGGCCATTGGATCTGGAATCACGTCAGCCAACTCTGTCAGCACCCTCGGGTGCATCCCATCCAGCCCCATGGACTTGCTTTTCTAAGTAGTCCCAGTTTTTCTTAGTCCATAACCTGTTCTTTCACCACTGAAGGCTACTCACTTCCTTTCCAAACTATGCTGCCAGGTGCAGTAGTCTGGGAGCTGACCTTGCCTGTGAAGACTGAGGCAAAAAGGGTATTGAGCACTTCAGCATTTTCTCCATCCTCTGTCACAAGGTTGCCTCCCTGACTCAGTAAGGGAGCCACACTTTCCCTGATCCTCCTCTTGCTACCAACATACTTGTAGAAACCCTTCACACCCCTTGCTAGCTGCAACTCCAGTTGTGCTTTTGCCTTCCTTACTTCATCCCAAGATGCCATCTACCATGTTCCCCACCAATTCTTCCCTGTTTGTGAGCAGTAGGTCAAGAACAGCATGGCCCCTAGTTGGCCACTCCAACAAATAAATAGCAAACAAATAGCAAAAAGGCAAACATGCTCAATCAATTTAGAAGCAATATCAACTTGGTTGTTTCTTCTAAGCAACTCCTCAAAATCTCCCAGAACAATCTGAGCTTTTTAATCTCCTTCCAGCCTGAGTCAAGCTAGATAGTCCATAAACAACACAATTCTACTAGCCAGTCTTCTGTAATGATGGCATAAAGTGGAGTGTCATCTATATTACAAGTGCATAAATCTTGTTGGCCCAAATTCTATTTCTGGGCAATATCCAAGTACAGCTGCACACATTAACATTGACTCAAAACCAGCTAGCTTTTAATTTTTAAATGTTTCTCCCCAATCTCCTTTAAAATTTTTACTTCACAGAAGTTGCCCATTTGTTCCTTCTGGAATCTGACAACATGATGAACAAGGAATGCATACGAGGATGTAAACTATTTTTCCAGGCAACCAAAAATTAATCATTTTGCACTCACTGTTACAGTGCATAAAATATATATATATTATGATTAAATCAATTTTCAGTAAAAGGTTCTTGGCTACTGTTATGCCCAACACTTATTTAATCTGTGCATTCCTCTTTCTCCTTCAAGTATATATAACATAAAGTAGTTTAATTAGAGAAATTATTCTGAGAAAAATTGCAGGTTCTACATATTGCCATACAAAACTACTCCTAGAATCTGGTATCCCCTAACTTTCATTAGGCCCTGAAAGTAAACCGGA